GTAATTTCTCTTCGTGTTTCTTTTCTTTTTCCTCCAACAACTGCTGTAATCTCTCTTCTTGTTTAATTTCTCTTCGTGTTTCTTTTCTTTTTCCTCCAACAACTGCTGTAATCTCTCTTCTTGTTTAATTTCTCGTTTTCTTGTTTCTTTTCTTTTTCCTCTAACAACTGCTGCAATTTCTCTTCTTGTTTCTTTTCTTGTTTTGAGCTGCCATTGTTGCAGGTTTTCTTGCAACTGCTGTTGTCTCTCTTCTTGTTTCTTTTGCTGTTCTTGTATTGCTGCCATCAAATCTGCTAAACTGTAGTTTGATTTGCCGCTTCTCGTTTCCATCTTCTCTTTTTCTTCTTCTTTTTTTTTATCCCACTTCTGACACCAATTTGTCACGTCTCCGTTTGTTAATTAACTTTCCGTAACTTCATTCCGACGAAACTTTAGCGACACAAGTCCTTACTTAATAAAACTGGTTTATTCTTTCTGAATATAACTTAACCGATACACTCAACTTCAACAATCGCGCTAAAACAAACGCTATAACAACGAACGTGCTCAATAATACTCTCTGACTGCAGATCAATTACTCACTGTCTACACACACATATCCCGTCACGTTTTCACCCTCTTATATATACCAGGCTACCCTATACCTAGCAAATGCTAGAGCATTCGCCAAGGTACAGGATAGTTCTAGAAAGCAGAGGGCGTGAGAATAGTCACGTGATCTCGCTGACGCAACAATACCATAGAAAAGTTTATTGTTATTTCTTAAATGCATGTCCTCCAGTAGGACAGTGGTAAGTCTTAGGATTGACAAAGCTAAACTCAGTGGTTTGATTCCCCTCGTTAGATAAAGCAGATAGCTCAATGTGGCTTCACTATAACAAAAACACACACGCTTAAATACACGAATATTGTTTAAAAGTGCAATGAAAATAATTGTTTTATTACAACTTACAGCTTTTACAGTAAGGAAAGGTATCTTTTAGAACAGATGGGATCATTACAAAACCTTCTTTACCGTTAAAACTTGTATACTTGAGAATGATCGCATCTGGGATCGAAACGTCGTACCTGTTCTAAAAATAATATTCCTTACTGTAAAATCTGTAACTTGTAATCAAATCATACTATATCAATAAGTAAACACAAAACGAAACTATAATTTATAATTATTATCAAAATTTAGTTATAACTTTTATTAATTTTCTCACCACTGATTTCCATCAGTATAAATATTGTTACGTCTCCGTTCGTTAGTTGATTTTCCGTAACTTCGTTCCCACGAAACTTTAGCGACACACGTCCTTTCTTAATAAAACTGGTTTATTCTTTCTGAATATAACTTTACCGATACACTTATTTTCAACAGTCGCTCTATAACAAACGCTATAACAACGAACGTTAACTTCAACAATACTTTCTTACTGCAGTCCAATTACTCACTACCTACACACATTATCACGTCACGCCGTGACCATCTTATATATATACCAGACCACCCCCAATCTAGCAAATGCTAGAGCACTCCCAAAGGAACAGGATAGTTCTAGAAACGTGGCGTGACACTAGTCATGTGACCTCGGTGACGCAACAATATGAAATTTGGATAAATAATCATCTTTATCATATACGGTTTCTAAATAGTATCATAATAGTATCTTCGAATTTTTTAAACTAAAGCAACTTTTTAAAAATGATTAAGAGAGTAAACAGTGAAGATATATCAACGTCGTTGTCTTTTGTGCGTTATTTAAATACCAAAAGTACAACAATTGTTTGGGAAACTGAAATATTTCATTCAAATCTATATTAATATAATAGTACTGTCTGTTGTATGTGACTACTTCGCAGGGTGTGGATAGATCTTCACCAGATTTGGTGTGGAGTTTCATTGGGTCCATGGGGAGATACATAAAACTTTTCAGTTTTGTGTTTTTCGTTTTTTACCACTACCTCACCTCCTGTGAATGGATATTCACCAAAATTGGTATGGAGATTCATTGTGTCCATGGGGAATACATACACATTTTCAGTTTTGCATTTTGCGGTTTTTGTGGGCGTTTCTTACAACTACCTCACCTTCTTTAGATGGATCTTCACCAAATTTGATATAGAGGTTCACTGGGTCGATGAGGAGGTACATATAACTTCCCGGTTGCACATTTGTGTTTTGCTGTTTTTGTGGGC